ACTAGTTCAAATTTACCTCAGACTGCTGGGAATACCTGAAAGGACACATCACGAAGCAGCCCTTTCAGCCTGACCTTCCGTTCTGGGAAGAACCGAGGTACTCCGTCAAGCTAGCACTCCTAGTTCATCATGATAGATTAAAGTACGCCAGATTTATTTTAGTTAGTAATGCTGCAGTGTCAACGCCAGTCCCTCGGGTTTTACCTAATCGGCCAGTATTCCAAATACCTCCACAAATTTCCACATGTTAGGGGATTTCCCCTGCCTACTAATGCCCTCCAGGACAATTAATTTTACCCGAACATGAAAGCGCAATGATGGGAAATGCTATCATTATTATTTCGTGTGTGTGTGATCAACGTGCTACTGCCAAGTCTTTTCCATTTGCCACCGGCTTATTGTACGCCGATATACGAAGGAAGCCTAATCCATGCATTCAGGCTCGATTGATGGCCTGGTGGTCTGGGACCTGGAGGAAGATATTGCCTCGGAGGACGGGTCGGGGAAAGGTGGTCACATTATGGGCGGCTCCTCCGGTTCGGTAGACTCCTGGCCAGACAGCCGTCGTCTTCCGCTGCAGGCTGTCTATGGTAGAGCGTACATGCGGGATAGTTGGCCTGCCTACGTTGAGACGAGAGAGATGCGACGTATGGGTCCTGCCGATCTCAGCTGCCTGCCACAGCGTCTCCTCCGGATGCGCCTACTGCATATTGCATCACGGCTCTCTGAGGCAGGACAACACCAGGATGCCAACAGCCAATCAACTGAATCGGCTCTCCTCGCCTGTTCGGGCTGCTGTTCAACCCTCTGGCCCGCCAGGTCCGAAGCAGAGCAGACGGCTAGCTGGCAGCTGCCACACAAGTTGCATGCTGACTTCTTTCAGTCCTCTGTCGAAAACTTTATTCTCGAATCTATTCACTAGAATAAAATGATTCACTGCAAAGTGTCAAAGTATCTCGGAGATGGGCAAGATCCTATTTCGTAGCCGTACCTGTTAGAGGTTAGGGTTAGGGACAGTGGTTAGGTGTCAGGGTTAGGGGTGAAGGTTGGGGTGGGGTTAGGCTGGAGCATGTCTACTGTAGGTAAGTCAACGAAATGAGATCCGACCCGGCGATTGTTGTCGTTCATTCTGAGTGGCGGATA